CTGCTTGGGAGCCGTGAGAAAATCTCCTTGCTGTCAGTTCTAACGCTTGGAATCACAGCATTCACTGACAGCTAGGAGAAAGACTTTTAAAGGACATTTTGCTCCAGTCCTGCGTTTCAGGGATGACAGATGCTGTTCCTTTGAAGGGAAGGCAGACCACACGCTGCACAGGTGAAATCTTTGGAGAATTTTGCTGCCAACATCTAATAAATGTTTGTGGAATATATTGGAAATAGATATATTTTTAGATGCTTGAAAACTGGCTAACTTTGGGTGCATGTTACTGGAAGGACGAAAAGCAGAGTAATCTTTGTAATAAATTTAAGTTTCTACTTCAAAGGATACAGATGATCGAAATCTTCAATGAAACAGGCTAAAAAAATAATTTATGACTAAGTAAAACAACATATCAATTCTCCACCATCATCCCTCAAAACAAGTGAGCAATTTTTCTGCAGCCTCCCACAAATTTCAGCCTGAGGCACACATTCAACTTAAAAAAAATTCGATCTGAAAAGTTAAATTTTGGAAAGGTAATAGGCAATAAATAACAGGGTCTTACTAACTTTTTCACAGTCTCTTCACATATGCTTTTTTCTCTTTCTGTATATTTACATATATATGCACATACGCAAAAATGATAACGCTGTGTCGTTTATTAAAGTGCTTTCAAGAGCTGAAAGAAGATACGCAATTTTGAACAGTCATATGTAAAAACCGATGTGAACACATTATTTTAAACTGAACTAAGGTTTTAATGCTCTAGCAAATTGGCTTTCATGGTTTTTCTACTCCATTCAATGGTCACATTTTAACAGATTCAAAACATTAGCCTACAATACCGTAAAACAAATGAATTTGTTGAATAGGAATTTCAATGAAAACTGCAGCTCCTTGAAAAACACTGGCTGTCGAGATACACATGCAAAAAAGACTCATTAAACCAAAGGACAGAACAAGCTGTGGAAGATGGCGTAACCTTAGTTGTTCAATCAGGAGATAAAGCTAGGATTTAAGTTACAGTTTTTTATTTGGAGAAATAGCTTATAAATGGAGAAGTTATGGCTAGAATAACTGTAATCAGAATGCCAGGGATCCAAGTCTGCAGAAAATAAAGACATTAGCTTGAAGGAGAAGGAGGTTCAGAAAAATGTTATTTTGTAAAAATTTTCCAGTCTCAAAATAATTGCCTTTTGGAAAAGAATGTCAAGTGTGTCCTTCCCTGGCGATTGGTGACAATTTTTTTCATTCTTTTATAATATTACTTTAAAGCTACCTGTTCTCAACAGCCTTAGCAAACATTTCTTACCTGTGTCCCAATAGTCTCCTGGAAGCAGCGCCCAAGCTGAGTTTTAACTGAAACAGGAAACATATGAGGAATAGGTTGTTGATTTGTGTAAGTAGTATGTCCTTTCTGGGTCTTCTGATACGGAAGACCTTGGTAAGAGACCTGTGGATGTACTGGCTGAGGTACTGTCGCTTTTTGTCCTGTTGATGTGCTGTCAATTCTTGAAACTTGATGGATCTGAACTGAGGCTTCAGGGGGATGTTTCACATGGATATTCACTATGTTAGGAGGAAACTTCACTAAAATAATTGAAGGAAAAACACATAAGAAAAATTGGTAATGTGTCAAAAAAGACATCTTAGGCATCTCTAAGACGTTTCTTTTTTGTACATTAGAATTTTTACAGAGTGCCTTAAAGTGACTGAAATATAAATGAAGCCCAAATTTGGGGGTTAGAGGGAAGGCTGAAAGAATGCATAGAGTCTCGTTAACAAAGCAAGAAAATGAAAACTCTTCACACAGGAAAGAACGACATTATAGGGTTGTCAAGGCTGCTACATAAACATGGATGTCCAAATTGGCTGGTGTGACATTAATATTTGTGGTCATACTGTGTAATAAGAATCCCATTCAAAGTTCCAGAATTCAGACTCTACTGGGTTATTTTTGGATATATGGTAAACTTTATTTTCTTTTTCAGATCCATCATCTTTCTCTGGAACACAGAAAAAGCTTCACATTTCATCCCTTCACCTTTATATATCTGCCAAGTCCCAAGTTTGCCCCTGCACAAGTTGCCAGCATCTCAACCATCAAAAATCACCACTCCCTCCACTGAACTTTGAATTCAGGATTTGGCAGATAAAGAGGGACGAAGTATTTTTCAGATACTTCTGTTTTTAAATAAAGTTGTAGTTTTAAGTCTGAGTATATAGATTGAGATCCTCCAGTCAACGTAATGTGCACAGAACTGTTCATGACCCTCAAAAGCCTCTTTTCATTGAAACACAAAATGCTCTTTAAACATGTAACTCAAATTATTAGGGGGGGAGGAGAGGTGTGTAAAAAGTTGTATAGTTTGTAAGCTGCATAACAAAGTCAGCATTTACTGTCTGGGTGTCTCTCGTCAGCAAGTACTGCAGATACTACATGAAGTCAGCCAATCCATTTGATGTAACAGCCCTTCCAAACATCAAGAACCAATAAATACAACTTGACATACTTTCCCTATAATTGTCTTTCTCCATAATCCAAAATACTGGATTGTTGCGTCTTCTGAGTTGTGTCCCTGTCTCCAGAAGGCCAGACTGTTCTTTGGAACTTCATTAGGCATCTTCAGTTCTTATTTACAAATTTCAACATCATAGCTCTGCTTCCCAGGAAGCATATTTCATTTATTTTAGCTGCTTTAAAATTATATTATTTTGTAGACACTGCTTTTGGTTTTTCACATTATATTCATTTCTCTAGGCACATTTTCAGTATTAATTGGTTTCACATAGGAATTCCTTAAAAGAAACAAAAACCTATTTGTACTCTGCCTTGCATTGTTTCATTTATGAAAATCTTCAACATATTGCAGACAGAAACATCAGGAATAAGGTAGCAGAAAGTCAGTAAAACATGGCTTCAGGGCCTTAATGGCTCTTTGGATCTTGTCCATACCAGAAAACAACCTTCAAGAAAAATTAATGCTACATGAGTTCTGTTACAGGTAAATCCTCAAGGAAAGGATTCAATGTTACAAGCAGCAGCAGTAAGGCCCTTCTTAGGCTTTTAGGCTGGTTTTGCAGGGCAAGACAAGACAGCATAGTTTGGCTGGGAAAAGAACAAAACTCACCCCAACTTATTATCATACATTTTTATGTACGAAGACGGATCCTTTCAACTAGTTCCTCCAGCTGATAAATCTAAAAAATATATTTGTCCTCAAAAGAAATTACTGAATTGCTCTGCTTTAATCTATCAATCCACCTAGAGATATTCAGATGCTGAAAACATCAAATTAAGGCTGGTTCCTCCTATATAGCATTATTACCACTATCCTCTCCAGGTCTTGGATCACTGCCTAGATGTGCTGATTAATTTTTATTTCTGCCAGCCATTTCAGGATGAATTGTTTTATTCTTTCCTTGAAAGAAAAGAAACATTCCTCTCTCAACAATCCAACATCCTCATTTGGGCATGGAAAGAGAAGAAAAGGCATTGTGACTGCTGATGGTTCTCATGAGGACTTGAGGGTCAGGGGAAAAAAAAAATATTCAAGAGGTCAAACTCTGTAGCAATGAAAAACCTATTGTGTGTTTTAAGACAGCAACTCTAAATCTGAAAAACAACCATCTTAATTTTTTCTTTTTTTATGGTCCACCATATTGTCTAAAATAATTTGATCTTGAACTAAATAGTCACAGAAATAAATTGCTGCTCTACTAAATTGTTAGGTAATTATATTCTCTTCTTTTCTCACTCCCCCCCTCGCTTTGTTTTTTTTGTTGGTGTTATTTTTTTTTTTTTTTTTCTCTGAGAGTCAGAAAGTTCTGAGGAGCTTTAGGGACTAATACTCCAATATGTCAGTGGAAACTATTTCCCAATGGACTGTGTAGTAGTCCCTAGAGAACAAATCCATTAAAAAGATGGAGCAGATACTTTAAAGCATTTATAAAATATTATGTTTCTAGGAGGATATGGTTAACACTTCCTTCACAGCTATGTCCCTTTCTGAAAACAGAATTACTACATTAGATTATATTTATCACAAACGTATAAATAGTTTGGCCTCTTCTAGCAAAGTTATTCAGGAACTAGTTGCCAACAACTGAGCCTCCTGATGTCTTTCCCCCATATATTTTATTTTTATTCAGAGACAGAAATCTTGGAGAAGTAATTGTAAAATTACCCTGAACAAGAAAAATCAACCTGGCAATTCAAATAAACAAAAAAATTTTCATATTAATTCAAATGTTGTGAAACTGAATTGCAGAGGTCTCTCCATACGGACAGGATCTCACCCAGATAAAATGCTACCTACAGTCATAGAACACACAGGAAATAAATTCAACATTTCCCTTCAAGGTCATCAGAACTTGTCACTTCACAAAAAAATATCAGGGGAAACAGAAACCTGAAGCTGATTGGACTTTCTTTGACTGGGCAAAATTTGATTATCATCACAGATTTTCTGCGGATCTTTCTGATCCTCCACCTTCTTCACAGCATTAGCAGTAGGAAATCTTTACCATTTTTTCTATGATATTGTTATATGACCTGGAAAGAATGTTCTACTTAACTGAACGATATCATGGCCTATCTACCTTAAAAGTTTACCGCAAAATTAACTTACAGGACTCTACCAAGTAATATAACAAAGATAAACATGGATTGTATTTTTAGTTTTATATTAGATTTAAATTTTGTTACGTTGAAAATCATTGTCTCTCTCCTCTCCCCTAGTAACCATGGAACTACCTGCAACTTTCTTATCCAGGTATACCACGATTTATGGACTCTGTTCAGCCAAAATCATTCTCTTTTCAAACAGCTCTAGGCTCCTGGAAGAATCCCCCTGCATTATCCTTTGACTCTGCAATCTGCATTAAATTTCACCGCAAAGCAAAGTAAATGTAGTTATAAACTGTTTTCGATAGTACTGTTATTTCTTATTATTTCAGTCATTGAGCAACATTCTTCCCAGTCATTCTGGTGAGCTCACAATTCAAGATTCAAACTATGTAGACAGATCTCTGTCGTTACTGGTTGGATACCCAAAATTAGTTAATAAAAATCAACTCCAAAGGAAAAAATATCTATGAAGAAAAAAGTTACCTTTTACACCTTGCTGTCCAGACATCGTCAGTGGTAAAGTATGAGTAGAGTGGATAATTTGTGACCCTACAGCCTTGTTCACCTGTTGTGAGTGATGGTACAGCTTTGGAGCATTGGCAGTCTGCACAGGGATCTGACAAAGTTTACCAGTGTAATTAGGAGGGCACTGGCATTTATCTCTAGAACTGCACTGGCCTCCATTCATGCACGGAAGGTGGCAAATAACTGAAATGAAAACAGAAATAAAAATTTTGTTAATGACTTTAGCTTTAGTATTATCTGACCACATATCACACAGATGTTGAGGAGGAAAGGAACAGGGCTGGGGACATTCATTCTTCCGATATCTGAGGCATGACTATCCATCCGACACGCTCTTTTAATTGCCTTGTGGTAGAACTACTTCCCTTCCCTTCCTTTTGACCTCTGCCTGGTTTGCATCTTCGCTCCATGACAAACACGGCAAGCACATTCTTCCCTTAGAAATCCCAGCTGTTTTATTTCATTATGCTATTAAGTAATACGCTAAATTAATACGTTGCCTGGCTGCACCTCTTATTCACACTTGGGTACGGGTATCCTTATTTAGTCAGCCTCCCATTTCTGAAAATCCTGGACCAACTACACTTCCCTAGAAGACTGGGGAAAACTCACCAGAGAGTATACAGTACTGGGACAAAATTTTGCATTTTCTCTGTAAGCCTTGGTTGTTCCCTGGAAAATCATGTCTTACCAAGTATCTAGATTTTTGCTTAACATTTATCTCTCAGAGAAAAGAGGCTAATTTGTATACCCACCCATGAAGATCATAAAAATATTGAGAGATTCTACTCAAATGATTGCAGAGACAAATTCTAAAGTATTAAAATATTTTAACTCCAATATAAAAGACAAGGGTAATTACTTCTGTGCCAGCTAGTACTTGCACATTTACAGCAATATAAATTAGTGAAACACGAAAAATGTCAACATTGAATGAAAAACATTTCTTAACTCGGAGACACAAACAGTAATAGGCATGGTTCAGCACTTTCTAAAAATACGATGTGGGACTTTATAATCAACCATAATCTAGCTGAGCTGTCAACATTTTCCAGAACTAAATGATGTAAAAACAACAGGAAAAATATCGCAAGTCTTTGTTCAAGACAAACTAAGGTCATTTTTTCAGAAATCAAAGATTTTTGAAGAAATAGCACACAGGAGCCATTTGTCAGCTTTAAGATAAGATTGTGACTGTAAAAATAAATAAACAAAAAATCCAGACTTTACAGTAATTATTGCATTTTGCCGGACTGGTACTGCTCAGTCTATACTGAATTACAATAAAACGAGGAACTGTAGATAATGCAAGGTAACTAGGAACCTAGTGCTTATTATTCCAAGTGGTGTAATCTCTGGCCAACTGCAGCCTATTGCTATTATTAACACCATAAAACATCAGTTTTGGAAAAGGAACCTGTATGTTGTGTGTCGCAAGAAGACAAAGTGGGACATTCAGCAGCCCAAAGACTTCCAACCCCAGCTCGTAATTCCCTTGGCCAAGGAAGAGCGCTCAAGAAACAGCGCAATCAGCCCAGCTTGTCGCAAAGCGCCCTCACGTTATATTGACAGGGTCTGGAACAGCAATGCCTGATCGGCAGATAGATCCATGTAAAAATGTAAACAGCCAGCATTGGTTTTCCACTCTGTTCTGCAAACGTACATTTAATATTTTTCTCATCTTATCTCCTATTTTCATTTCGTATAAACTGACTGAAAGTACTTCAAGCTGTAGCACTGTGCTAATAGGCCTAGTTGACTTCGGAAGGCTAGCCACGCCTGTGCAGGCCTCGCTTGTTTGGGTCCCAATGCTGTTGGGACTTTATCTGAGTGTATCAAAGATATCCTTACAGAACCGTTGCTACTTCAGGGCAAAATGAAGGATTTTTGACCCCAGCAGTGATTAAAGCATGACAGCCATCACTTTATCTCTCTTTGGTAGCATTTCTCCCTGAGCAGCCACAAAACGAGCAGGTTTACTGTAATGGCAACAACGTACAAAGAATTTTAGGTACTTGTAAAGATCTGTCTGAGCAAGGTTGAAAGCTAAGGTGGTTTTCCTGCAAAAGTAACATTGCCTCAAGGCAACAAGGTAAGATGCAAAATCCAGCTTTTAAACAATATAAATATACCCAGTATTTCCATCAAAATAAATTAATGTCTTCCGAGCTCCTGTTCCTATAAAGCAGTTGGGGTCTGGAAGGCCAGGTCATGTCGGTAATTCGGCATTACAGGAAGCTCTTCAGGCTTCCCCCTCCTGTAGGAGCCTGCAGGGTAACCAACGGGCATGTAAAAAGCTTTGCTTTCAAGCAAACAAAAAGTTTGTGCTGAAAATACTGGGAAAGAAGATACCAATAGAAAAGAGTTCATTCATTTCCCTTTCCAGAAGTCTTTGCTGTGGATATTCACACAAACAACTTGTGCAAGTAAATGCAAACCAATGCCACTGAAAGGTCTAGTATGAGGTGAATAATGAAGAATATTTAATATCTCAGTATTTACTATAACAGAAAATAAAAATTCCAAACTTCCCACATTATCACGTGGTGCAAATCACTCAGGCAACTGATTTAGGGACAGATAGATTGATTTGTATCTCTTGAAGGTCTGGACTAATGTATGAGGAATGAACTTTAAATGAGAATACAATAAATCTATCCTGAGAATATAAAATTCTGTAATAAAGAAATTAAAAATTCTGAAATATACAATTGTAAGTTAAACTCAGCCATGTAAAAACAAACAGGATGCGATCACGAGGCTAAACTGAAAACTTGATAACCTCAAATGGCAAAGATTATGAGAACTTTAAAAAGAAAAAAAACAACAGAAAATGAAGAATGAAACACATTGAAATAAAATATCTGATAATTTTAAATAGGTATAATAAGCACACACACACTAATTGCAATGTTTCCTCAGGTAGTTTACGGCCAGGAGAAAGGGCTACATTTGCTTACGACACTGGTGCTGGAAACCACAGGCACACAACTTCACCAGAGCTGGAATTACACACAGACCATTTGAGAAAAGAGAGCTGAAGTGACGTAAGCCTCTGGAAAGGCAGAGGAAGGAAACACTACTTTTCCTCGACAAGGCTCTGGGAATCTCAGGTTAACAAAGACCAAAGAGCCCTGCAAAAAGGACCACTTAAGATAGGAACAGGATATAATGCCAGCATATGTTTGAACAGCTCAACTTCTAATGAAAGTTTTTTTGCTTTGTTTTGTTTTGTCATTGAGGTTAAAGAACTTAAACAAACAGAATGGCTGAACACTGCCAGAGGCATAGAGGACATTCCTGACAAAAACCAGATCCATGCGCTGGGAGAGACCATTAGAAGATGCTGGGTTTGCACGTATGTTCACAACTGGCATTCAGACAAAGGGGGCACTGGAGCCTGATTCTCACTGGGCTGTTGCCATTTCCTCTGAAAAGGGAAAAAAAAAAAGGAAATAAAAACACCCATTACGGTGTGAAACCCCCTAGCTGCTTGGAGCCTGATAAAAATGTGGAGACAGGTCTGCACAAGATGACAAGAAATTTCAGTTCACATGTGAGTATCTTACAAACAAAACAAAAAACATATTAATGGACCTGAGAAAGGCAACAAATTCTTCACTCAGATCTGCTGCAAGCGAAGACTCTCAACTGTCTCCTAAGGATCAGCTAACATATGATTGAACAAATTTAATGATTTCTTAATATAAATGAACATCCATCCTTTAGAAAAGTAGAGATAGGTTTAAGGAATTACAAACATTTTAAGTATTCTTCTCATCCTTCAGCAATTAATTAGTAATAACAAGCTCTGATTTCTCTGGCATCCAAAGGCCTTAATTCCCCCCAGCCTGGCACAGCTTGGTGACTCTCACTATTCAACACGAGCCAAGCAGAGAAGGTGCGTCGAGATGTCCCCACAGGGAGTCTCTGAAAGGCTGAATGCATAGAAAAAGGAGAACATTTGCAACTTGAATCTCAATAAAGCTGCCATGGCTATGGGTTGAAAACACAAGAATAGGACATGAAACCATCAACAAAGAAGCTAAGAAACCACTGATATACAGTTTGTCCATGTAGTTACATCATCTAATTTGTTTTTAAGATACTCAAACAACCTTGAACAGTTCCAGATAAACTAATTTAATCAAGTCCGAATGTTTTCATTTAATCAAAATAATGTGTAACAAAACAAATTCCAAGCACCTAAATCCTCCTAATCCTTTAAAAATAGCCCACGTTTACTCAAACAAGCCCTTAGGATGGATGGAAACTCTCTTCCTGTAACCAGTGTTGAAGAAAATGGAGATGGATTTTGAAAAGTTCCTGACTCTCCAAATCCCTTTTCTTTTACACCTCAGGGAACATGCGAATTTGTCTCGCCTTCCCTCACCTCTCTTTGCCTTTTTTACTTACACACTATCAACTATTCAAGTGTAAGCACTATTCAATTACATCAACAGGCTCTCCAAGGAAAACCTTCAACTGCTCATTAGATCACAGTATTTCCACTGGATGCATAACGAATCAGCAGATTAATTTTGTCTCTGAGTACTACACAGTTATCCAGCATTACTACATGCCCCACAGCTGTTTGGGCATCTTTCATCCATGCTGTTACTAAGCACACAGAACATGCAGGGACCAGCACGTAGTTCTACCAAACACAATTTTTCACAGGAAAGAAGAGAAGGGATTCACTGAGGGGAAGCACTGCCATATGCGACATTCTTGTCATGTAGTGCTTCTAAACACCATACATTTTACTTAAAAGTTGAAATGCAGAGGTGCTATATATAGATCTGTGTAATCGCTCCACACTTATTTCTACTTTTTAATTACAGAAACTCTAACGGTAACTCACAAAAGACACAGAGGCATGAGCTACAGTAATGATGCTATTCTCCAGTTTAGACTCTTCTCTATTCCCCTATTTTTTTTTTTTTTTTGTCACGTCTTTCTTGTTGTTCCTCAATTTTCTAACTACTTCATCCTAAATGGTTTTCTTTTCTGATTCCTGGTTGTAATTCAGAGGTGTTAAGTAAAGAAGTTGCAAGTTAAATAACCAAAGAATTAATTTTTTTTTTTCAAGTAAGATTAAGATAATCTTGATATTACAAATTTGTGCTTTGGGAAGCAGAGGGAGAAAAGAAGCGAAGCTTTAAGTGGCCTTGATTTACTAG